GGAAGGGTCGCATAAACTTGCTGATGAGATTTCTCTCCCTGCTCCTATTCTCTGTCATGCTGTTGCGTGTTAGTTCCGTTGAGACTTCGCAAGACGCCTCCGATCTTCCAGGTTCAGCGTCTGATGAATCGCCAGGTCGTTTCAGCCACGGGCACATGCCCGTGAACCAAGCGGCTACGGTTACGGTTTTGCAAGGGGTGATCGGCACATTCTCGATTCAGAAATCCTGCGCATTGCTGCTTTCGCCAAAGGCGTTGCAGCATCAACATTCGAGCATGTGCCCTTCGCCGAATGGGCATGCCAGTCATTATCATGGTAGCTGTGCGAAAATGTTGCTGGATGCGCTGAATGCTTCCTTGTCAGCTCGAACGATATGTTTCATTCCGGTACATTGTGGATCAGTTTGGAGGTGACTCTTAGTCCCTTTTCGTGTCCCACCCAACCCACCCTTTCAGTTTTTTTTTTTGGTGGTAAGGTCTGTTCAAAACAACCTACATGCTGGGGGAAGGATTCCCTCGGCTTCTCCATTTTGGAGGTTTCCATCTCACTGTGCAACATCCGGCTGTGCGGACCAAAATGACGGCCACTCGTCTTTCACGTGGTGGATTCCCTATGATTCCCTTGAACCGTACACTAACACTCTCCTTAGGCCTTCCGGGCGAAGGAAATTTGAGCCTCCGGGGTACAAGTACACATTGACAGCAAACAATAATGATCGACAAGGAACCAGTGTTCCATCCAATTGCCAGAATGTATTAGATTGAAAATGAAAATGCATGTAGCCGTAAGCTGACGTGAGCAAGAATTTCCGAATCTGTCATGGCACGTTTGGTTTCTTGCAGTTCCATGTCGCAGAGGGTTTCAGCGAATGTGGAAAGACGAAGTTTTTCATGTTGCTTATATTCGTGGCACGGTCAAATTCGGGTTTTGAAATCCAGGCTTTATTGCCATTGGTTCGATGGCACACCATGGCTTTGGCTCCTGTGTTGTTGTGGCATGATCGTCTGCACTGCAGTGATTGCAGTAGGTACGTGTATTTCGCTTGCATAAAGCAAGATAAATTGAATTGAAATTGTGGCAGCCATTCAGATCACAGTTGCGAAACGCTGCAGCGCCCCATCCGTGGGCTTGCAGGCTCCTCAGCTTCCTCACGGAGCACTGCTCTGTGCACGAATTCAGTGCCCAGGCTTGGCACAACGAAATTCGTTGTTGCACGACAGCGAAGCCCAGCAGCTCAGGTGACATTATCCGCCATGTTTCCGTTCGAATCTGCCATGAATTTGGACAGCTTGGTCTTGCTCGGTGAAGCCAGTCGCAGCCTTGGTTGTGATCGGTCCATGTTTTTGGGAAAGCACCTGTGGTGGCAAAGCGTCAAGTTCGCAAAGCGGACTACCGCAAGGTCATTGCCAGATCGTGCAGATGAAAGCTGAGAAAACACGTTCCCTGGGCATGTTTCCTAGTGTAACTACAGGTACCAAGTTAGGACAGAACGAAGACCGAACAACTGAACATTTGGCTCAAGGAAAACAAGTGCGATTGCTGTACTTGTTGCTGTTCCTTGCTAGAACACTTGTGTCTCTTGTGTTCTTCTGGTTAACAGCCTCAGCTTTGAGATACTTCGTTTGTGTTGTGGCTAGGAGAGTCTAAAGCCTCTACCTGAGCCATAGCCGTCCATATTTCTCCACCGTCCTTTGGTGTTGAGAGCGAAATCGCATTGCGTAGGGCATTAGCTGTCCTGCCTCGTACTGATACTCCCCGTGTTGTGCTAGAGCCAGGCCACCGGGTTGAGTTCCATATCTGCAAACATTACGCACTTCAATCACTGGGTTAGATTCATGCAACAGTTGCGCGTGCGACAGATAACACGTGCACTCGTCAGTCATCCATTGAATCTTTGGACTAGACTTGCAAGGGCCCTAAAGAAAAGGGTTTACAGGCAAGCCAGACTAAGGGTTCAAGAACTTCTCACACTTCGCAGGTGGTTTAGTCTTAGACTTGAGGAGGTACCTGTCCCGTGGTTTCCGCTTCGTGGACCCTCCCCTTGGCCTCAGGCACCACCTTAATCACCGTGTATGCCCAGAGCAGACGGGCATCCGACTGTGTGTGAAGCCCTGCACGACTGGTTTGTGGATCTTTACTATAGTATAAGACTTTGGGTACTTGAGACGTTCTTCCCCACTTACCTTGAGAATCGTAGGAGGTGGAACAGGACTAGAACGCGCTGGCGAAGGATTGTTCGCAGGTCCATTGAATCGTGGTATCGCACATCCTTCTTCTTGTACCGATTGCATCAAATACATAGGGTTACCCAATTCCGACACGCAGACGATTACATCGATTGGGGAATCCCGAGATACTACCCATAACCAAAAGGCTGCATTCGCGCTTGCCTCCGCCTGCTGCGTCGAGGCTGCTGCATTGCAACAGGTAAGAGTGTCTTTGAGTCACCGTGTTGGCATCCCGCCACCGGTGGACTTAATCTGAACTCCAAGCCTGATTTCCCAAACTGCGTCTGCTTAAGCAATTGAGTGGACTTGCAAATCATCCAATCAAGGATTGTGGTGAGTACCCATACACCTCTTCCGAGACCCGTTCACGGTTTAGGAAGGCCTAGGGCTTTGTGGTGTGAAGGGTTTTGTGAAGGGTTGCAAACGGTTTCCCATCACCGCCATCGTCCCAAACAACATCGAAGGCACATCCTGCAGTCCCGCGGTTCTCCCTTTAGGTTGAGGACTTGTGGTTGACTGGGTTATTGCCCTCCTGCTGGCACCTCGCCACAGGAGCAACAATCAGCAAAGCACCATTGCCCGTGCACTGAAACCAACGATTAAGGATTCAGGGTCAAAGACCTGTGTGCATTCGTCGACGACGCTGGCTTGAAGCCGACGGCTTGGTTGGTGTTGTTAGTGGTTGACTCTTGACCTTCCGGTTTTCTAGTCATCGGAGAAACCGTCAAAGGCTGTGATGTGAAGTCTAGTGAAGGCACTTCGCACATTCACGTTGTCCGTAGAGCCATTAAAACGGCACGGGGTAGATTGAGGGAAAGCCACTAGGACGGCATTGGGATTACATAGTGTTTTGGGGATGGATCCCACATCTCGGCGGATCATCGCCCTCTCGGCGGCCATTGCTGATGATGAGAGGCTGCAGCGATCTATCGAGATTTTTAATGGGCTATCTGGAGGAGGAAAGATTAAGAATAGGAGGAGGAAAGGGATGGCCGTGACCATTCTCAACATCTTCAAGCAGCATCTACACACACTTGATACGGCAGAGGCGTCAGCTCTCCTTGTTGTAGTGTGCAGGCGACTTGATGAGATTGAGGATCCAGATTTCCTCTTTGGTCAGTCGGTGCCGATTCTTCAGGACGATCCTAGCGACTATGCTAATGCATTAGAGCGCGACGACGATCTTGAGGAGGTTGCTGATGCACCCGAGCGCGACGACGTTCTTGAGGAGCATACTGATGCACCCGAGCGCGACGACGAGCTTGAGGAGGCTGCTGATGCACCCGGTCGCGACATCGACGACGAGCTCGAGGAGGCTGCTGATGCACCCGAGCGCGACGATGAGCCTGACGCGGCAGACGACGACATCCACGAAGAACCTAATGCACCGGACGCCGATATTGAGGAGTCTAATGCACTGGGCGTCGTAGCGGATGTTGTGGATCTTTGGGATGAGGTCCCAGAGCTGCCGAGACCTCCCGCTAGTGCCTCGGCCGACTTGCCTCCTACTCCGAAGCCCCCAAAGTCTAGACCAAGAATAGGTGGTACTAGGACTCCGGTTCCTCCACCTCCTAGGCCTAAGCACTTGGGAATTAGAACACCAATCCCTCCATCTGCAGGACGGGAGGCTCCAGAAGGGGGCTACTTGGTAGTTCGCCCCAAGAAGCGGCCAAAGCCGCCGCAGGACATTTCGGATAACGAATATTGTAATGAGTATCCTACGATAGAGGAATCTTTTGTGCCGAAGGCGTCGGGGGTTTCCGTAGGTTCGGGTTGCATTGGAGATTGGACATCGGAGCAGTGGCGTGAATACAATCGTAGACAGGAAGTGTCAACGGCCGCTGCCTCCTCCTCCTCTTCTTCTGATGCATTGGCTACTGCTTCCACTTCTGTTGCTTCGGCCTCTGTGCCACATCCGCCCTCGCCGCCACCACTTGAAGTTCTGCACACCTTTAACGACACAGCAGAGTTTGGCAGACATCTTCAGCGGGCATTGCAGTATCGAGCAGGGGTGCGCTTTGTGTTGTCCCTCGACTATCATAAAGTCTTTGACCGGTCTTTTGCAAGCACCGGGGAGGTTCTTCAACGCTTGAGTGCGCGACCCGATGTACTTGTGCTGCTGTGCAGCAAATGCTCCACGACCGGCTTGATTGAAAACGCGATTGATGCAATCCGACGCGTCTGTAGGACGAATCGCTACGCCGTCCGGCATTTTGCTTGCCTTTTTATTCCCAGGCCAGATAAGTCGGCCCAGTTATGGAACTCGCTGCGTGACGTGGAGGCTTTGCAGAACCTGCCCCTCGTACACATTGATGACAAATGGGACATCTGCGATGAATTCAACAGGTGGCATCTGGAGTCCTGGAAAGGCATCCACCTTCCTTGGGGCGGTCGCCGTGAGCTGGCCGACATTGTGTCGCCGGTAATCGCCGGGTGGCGCTGAAAGAATCCCACATTCGATTGTGATTAGGTTCCTAAGTTGACACGTTATCAGTCCTAAATTTCCCTTCGTTGTGTGCTGCGGCATTTTGCTTTGTGCTGCACCCGGGGTGGATTCATTGGATTGTGATTCGGGTCTTAAGGTTCATCCTTTCGGACATGATTTAACAGGTGCTTCCTAGTCACTCGGAAGCACCTATTAAACCACTAGTTTGGTGCTGCGGCATTTTGCTTAGTTCTGCACCCTTATGTGGTTTCCCATTGGCCCGAGAACCAAAATATTTGCAAAACAACCATTGTGGCGTTGGCATTCTGCCACCCACAGTGGTAACAATGGCGTCTTCACATGAGATGGAGACGGATCCCCTGCAGATCTCTTCCACTTCTGCCTCCGACGAAGCTGCTGCCGCTGTGCAGGCACCGGATGTGTCATTCGGGTTATCGGTCGTAACAGCCACCAAAGTAGCGGGAGCGAGAGCTCACCCAGGAGCGTGAGTAGAACCGCATCCGAGGGTAGGATTGTTGCTGCATCATCATCAAATAGGCCTTCGAGGGCTTCTAGTCCCTACCATAGGAACAAAGCCGCCCCGAAACCCAAGCACATGTATGCGTGCGAGGTTGCAAAGCCTAAGATGCCAACACCTTCCGGTAATCCAGTGACGTATGGACCGCCACCACAGGAGGTTCACCTGCATAAGCATCAGCAGTTGGGTGTCATTGTACAAGGGGTTGACCCACAGGTTCATTCCCAAGCATTGGCGCAAGCCCAGATTGTTGAAAGCCAGGCAGTAGCGTATGTTTCCGAGGTTCAACAACAAGCTCAGGATCAGGTTCAGGCTATCGCCGCCAACATGAGCAATCAAGCCCAAACACGGGTTCAGGCCATTGAGCAACAGGCGCAAGCTATGGTTTCGGAGGTTTCCGTTGAAGCTTCGAGGCAACTAGCTGTGGCAAATGAAACCATTGCTAGCTTGAAGCAACAAAACGAGATGTTAGCTCGACAACAGCAGGAGCTTTACAGTCAGATTGCAACGTTGCAAAGCATCGTAGCGGAAGTGAAGGCTGGTGCTGTAAATACGAGTGTACCTCAGATTCCTCAAACCCAAAATGGCGCGGAGATTACCGAAGCGCTTAAGGCCATGGCATCGCATGTTGGGCAAACCATGAATGAGCTTAAAGATGCAGTGTTGTCCTCGTCCGCCGGAAATTCACCAAAGGCGAAGGGGCGCAGGGATAATAAGAAGGATTCGGATTATTCGGTATCGGGGATTCCACTTAGCAAAGCTGCTAAAGCCCCGTACTTTTCCAGTCCCCCACCTTATGCATGTGAGCGACAAGCACCAACGAACTTCTTTGATGCTTGGGCACGGTCCTCATCATCACTTGCCAATCGCCCACCAGCTTATGCGTGTGAGAGGTCGGCAACGCCATCATCGAATGCAAATGCATCACCTGTATTCACGACACCATTCTCTAGCCTAAGACCTTTAGTGGGACAGGCTACAAGTAAAGGTATCGGGATTGGTGCGGGTTTTGCGCCCGCCATTACACCCATCGCTGGGTCGCCGGGCCCTCCACCGCCTCCTGAGCCTGAGATCTTCGACATAGGGGATCCCGAGGAAGGTGAGGAAGAACAGGTTGATGATGATCCCATTGTTGAGCCGCGAGCCGCCGGTAACAATGATCGGGGTTATGATGGTGGTGCTGATGCTCAGCCTCCTGATGGAAATGAGGAAGAGGACTATGAAGCAGCTACTTATAAGTATAAGGATCTTAAGGACCTGAAGATGCCACAGCTTCCAAAGGATAGTGTGGGTTTCCGATCGTGGCGCAACGCGCTGCTGACGCAGTACTCTGCCATTGATCGCACGGGCCAAGCTAGGATTCTTAGATGGCTGCAGGTATGCATTAGAACAGAGGTGACAAACCGCGAGATTGCACAGCTCCAGAACAATCCTGATCAGCTCCCACGGTTAGACTCATTCCTTGCATCGCAGATTTCGGATTCGAGGTACATGAAAGGGGAGTTCGGGCTTGAAGTGCAGGCGTACATTGAGAGGGCGCACGCACATGGGGTTTTGCCATCCGGTCGAGCGATGATTGCAATGCTTTCGCGCAGGTTTCGCGTAGATCGGGTGAGAGGTGCTACGGTCACACAGCAAACACTGTTGGCTGTAACGTTGGACGGATTCTCTTACAATCAGATGTTGACTTTCAAAGAAAGAGTCGAATACATTCTGAATGGGATAGCCCCTGAGCACTGGCCGTCTGACGCGACCTTGTTTTCGTGGTTTTATGCTAAGATTAAGAGTTCAAGGGGAATGCAACGGATCATTGACAAAGTTAAGGATTCCTCCCCAACTTCCCGTAGGAGAACGTTCGGATGGCTCTGGGAGCAATTCTCAGATCACTTAGCAGAGCTGCGTGAAGATGCCAACGAGCGTGACTTTAGGGGAGCAATGCTGAGAGAAACCGAGGGAAAAGGGAATAAGACCACGGCAAAGCCTAAAGGTCAGGATGCTAATGCAAAGACAAAGTTGAATGCAACAGCAGTTCCCGCAAAGGACACCGCCGTTCCAGCAGCGCCCGGAAAGCCTCCCAAAGGGGCACCAAAAGGTAAGGCTAAGGCTAAATCCAAGGCTAAGGCTAAGGGTGGAGCCAAGGGTGACGGATCCGGTGAGGATAAAGGCAAAGGTAAAGGAAAAGGGAAAGGTGATCCAAAGGGTCCCCCGCCAAAGGCGGATGCAAGCGCTAAGGCTAAAGCTACCGTACCATGTGTGTTCTTCCCAAAAGGAACATGCAACCGAGGCAAAGACTGTCCATTTTCGCATGAGACAGGGGGGAATAGCAAGCCCAAAGGAGCTTCTACTTCATCAGCCGCGGTAGCATTGCTACTCCCAACAACGGCCGCAGGGAGAGCTATCGAACATGCAACACGTGTTGGCGCCTCCGCCACTCGTGGTTCTCGCAATAGCCTGCTGCGTATTGGTTTCAATGCCATTTGCAAAGCACTTGCTACACTTGCCACCATTGTCTGTCCTGACTTTTCTGCGATTGCACATGAAACTTGGACATCGCAGTCCCTCGCAGCGCCTGCCATTCTTTCGTTGCCAGCCGGGGTTCAAAGGGCTTCGGGTTATAGCTATAAGCTTGACTGACTTGATAGGCTGAAAGCTGCGTGTGTGGCTGGATCAAGCTTCATGGACGTAGTCGCTGGTGTTCGCTTTCTTCAGGGTGCTCTCGCCAGCAACTTTTGGGGATTGGGGTGCCCGGTTTACTGCGTTCAACCATCCTTTGCCTTACTGGCCCTGACCTTCCTCGTTGGCTTCCTCTTTGGTGTTGCCTGCTTGGCTGCTGGGCTCTTTTGGCTAGGGGGTTGGACTTTTACCCCTGCGGCACCTGCCCCTCTGTCTGCTGCCCAAGCCCGCCTTCGGGGGTACTTGCATGTCAGACGGCCCTGACGGCCACTCTTCTTTTGTGATCAAGATCCGAGGCTGCTCGGTGGCTATCACAGGCCCGCTGCCTGCCGCTCTCTCCATTGCTGACCACTTGCAGCTGCTGCAGGAGGCCCCGGGAACCCCTAGGACCCTAACCTCAGCCTCTAGAACTCCCGTGCGCACTCCTCAGGCGGCCGCCTTTGAGGAACCTGATCCCTTAGGCCCTAATCCCGACCAGGCCCCAGGCACAGGCGCCAGTGACTTTACACGGGCTACATACAGCTCCACAGGCACTGAGGCCACCTTCACTCCCGGATCTCGACCCACTGGCGGTCTCTCGCAACCAGGACCTGCTGCTCAGGTTCCCTTGCCGGGCCCTGTGCCCCGTCTTCCAGTCCCCTCTTCTCGGGCTGAACTGGAAAGGTCTCTGCCTGTCTGCCCTTCGGATCTGCTGACCCAAGGCTCGGTGCTGACAGCCGCTGGTACCTTGTCAGGTGAGGACCGCATCCGCCGGGCTTGGCGAGCTGCGGCGAGCTGGAGCCTGGGCTCGGCTTGTGCTTCAGGGGGCGATTGGCTCTCCTGCTTCATCGGCTCAGCTCTCTCTGCCATCTCGCTTCTACGTTGTGTTGGGCGGCGGTGACCACCAGCCTGCCCTCTACAGAAATTTTCGAGATTACCAACGGGCGGTTGGCCCCTTCCCTGCCAGCTCGGCGGTCTCGCACAGCTTTCCCTCTGAGGCGGAAGCTCGCACTTACACTGTTGCTGCTGGCCTGTCATGGCCGCCTACTTCAGCTTAGAGGAGTTGGTTCCGTACCACCAGTCTCGGCAGATACTCGTGTACGAACACCCAGCGGCCGATGGCGAGGGAGTGCTGGAGAGCATGGCGGCAGCTGTACTCAAGAGGGACATGGGTTTCTTGTTGGCTCTTCCTTGCGGCTTGCTAGAGGATTCGGAGATAGCTGCTGGTTTGGTGGCCACCATCGATTCGCCGCTGGGTCCGACCACCGTGGTCGACATCCCAGCGGGCAGCTTCTCAGGAGAGACTTTCGTGCCCGCCGGGCGAACGTGCCAGGTGACACTCGCAGACTTATCTGTGGAGGCTTTGTCCCGTGTGGGCCCTTTCGAGCACGATCAGCCTCCAGAGGTCATGCTTACTTTCGACCCCGCCTCTCCCGAGTTGGTACCCGAGCCGCAGGCTCTCTTGACAGCAGCCCAGGCATGGATATCCGACCCCAGCGCAGCCGCCTACGAGCGGGTTCTACTCTGCCGACGAGGCTCCTGCACCAATGACGGGAAAGGCCCGCCCCGTGCTGCACTTAACTCGGCCCCAAAAGGCCACCACAGCTCAGCAGGGGGGCGCCATTGGAAACACCGGGCCCTCTGCCGCGCCACCGGACAAGCCAAAGAAGCCGTCGATGGCAGGGCTGTCGGCCCAACTGGACACTCTGTGCGCAACCTTGCCGGCCCTCACCAGCAAGCTAGCCGAGGTGGATCAGAAGCAGCAGGAGATGGCAAACCTGATTGCAGCAGGAGGTGCTGGACCTCTCCGACAGCCGTTGGGAGGGGCCGCTTCCTCTCTGGGGGCCTCGGCAAAGGCTCCAGCCCCTTTGGCTGCACGATTGGGCCCTCCGCCGGGCACGCGCCTACCCGCTGCCGAGCCGCTGGTTTCCACACTGGACGAAGCCCAGGAGGCCGAGGAAGCGCTGGACACCGGAGGTTCAAGCGACCCTTTGGCCCGTGCAATGTTGCTGCAGTCCCAAGCCTTGACATCACTTGTGCAGCAGCTAGCGGCTGCAGGAGGGGATGGTTCTCTCGAGCCCTCCGTCGCTGGTGCCCTAGGCGTGCGAGGTTCAGCCCAACGGGCGAAATTACAGGAGGAACTTGCGCAGGGAAAGGGGGCTTTCTTCCAACAGGTGACGCAGAATATCGCTCGCCGAATGATGCCCTCCCAGTCCCTCTCGTCTTCGCCTGCCGAGCTGCTCACCCAGGGTGTGTCGATGAGCCGTTACCTCGAGAGGTTTGGAGGATGGGCAAATTCCCGCGATCTCGGCCTCCTGGCCTACCAAGTGGGCTTGATTTTCGATGCCTTGCTAGCAGACCGAACCGATCTGGCCCGAGATCACGTGGCACTTCTTGCCACCTGCCTCGAACAGGCGGCGCTGGACCACGGCCGCATGGAGGTAGCATACCAGCTGACCCTCCTAGAAGATCCCCCATCTTCAATGTTTCTTGCGCGCAGCGGCCCCACTGCAAGAGGGCGAGCATTTGCACCAATGGCATCGCAGAGGTGGGTGTCGGTGGTGCTGGCCCACTTGCGCGAGCTCGACACGATTCAGGCTCGCAGGGCGGAGCATGCTCGCCCCGGACGACCGCCGCCTCAACCCACGGGCGATGCTACCAAGGACGAAGAGGATTCGCCGCCACCTCGGCGCCGGCCGCCGAAAAAGAAGTGACGCATCGACCTGGGGCGGCCCTTATGCCGCCAGCTGCCACCAGTCACAGAGTTTCCTTTGAGAGCCCCTCGCCAAAGCGCGGAAAGCATGACTCGTTGCATCGTGCCAGCCTTTGCGACGATGTGTCAAATACCCTCAGCACTACGATCTCTTTTGGGGACTGGGCTGCCTCCTTACCTAGGTGGCTGCTGCGGTCCCGCACGCCTTTTGGGGCCTACCTGGCCGCCACTTTTCGAAATCCTGCCAGCCGCTGCGGCACTGCCCCAGCCACCGCAACCTTCCCTCTCCCCATGCCTTACTTAGGCCTCTTTGGGAAGACTTCCCCAGACTTGCCCCGGGCTCAGAAGCAGCGTTTGTATCTGCGCCGTTCCGTGCACATTGTTGTGGCCGCCCTCAACTTTCTGCATGACTGTGGCCGTTGGGCCCCGGGCCATCTGCTCTGGAGGGAGCCGAATGCCGGTCATTTGGCGTGCTACCGGCGCATTCGCTCCTTTGTGGTTGCGTGCTTTTCCCGGAAAGAGGAGTTCCCACTCCCGCCGGGTCGTTCCGGGCCCGACTTGGTTGCCCGCCTTCTCGAACTTGAGTCTTTTGCCGGCTCCTTGGGTAGCCTTGGTTCCAGTTGTTCTGCTGACCTGCTGGCCAGCCATGGCCCCATCCCTAGCGTGCCTCCCTCAGCCGACCTTCCTCAACTACAACCGTTTCGGTCTTTGGACGTCTCTCGGCTGAAACTGCACGGGACCGGCGCTTGGCCTATCGCCTCCTTCCTTGAGGGCCCTTTGTGGCTTCCGTTCCAGGAGCCCCTCATACTGCGACATGGCCTGCCCCTGGGCACTTACGATCTCCCAGATCTTCAGACAGAGGATGCCAACGAGCATCTCAAGCTGGCTTTGCTCTGGGACGCCCGTGGGCTTTTGCGGCTAGTGCCTCCGCTGCCACCTGAGGCTGCACTGGCCCGCTCATGTAGAGTGTTCAACTCTTACGGAGGAGGGACAGGCTTACTTAGGGGACTTGTATCTTTGTAGTAGGAAATATGCTTTGTTACACTTTGTTATAAGTTGAACACAAATTCCTGCAACTATTCGTAACTTTTTTTAAGTTTTTGTAACTTTTTGTTGGCTTCTTGGTGTTTGCTTTCAGACCAACAAGACTGAGGTGTGGTTAAAGGCCGTATGTGTCAACGAAACGACTGCAGCCGCCCAGCAAGGCCGAATGTCTCAACGAAGCGACTGCAGCCGCCGAGTTAACAGAAGCGAGAGCAAGCACTATAACAGTATGTGTCTAGCTTGAAGAATACAGATGCTTTGCAACTTGCAGCAACAGAATCGCCGGGTCACTGGTCTGCTCTTCTACAGTGTGGACAAGCTTTTGCCTACTGGCACAGCAGCTATCGGCGCCAGCCTCGGCGGACAGCTGCATCTGAAGTGTGTCGCCGATGTGTCGCCGATGTGTCTCCGTGTGTCTCCGTGTGTCTCCTGACCCGGGGGCAGGAGACACGTGTGTCTTCTGACCCGGGGGCCGGAGACACATGTGTCTCCTGGGCCGGGGGCCGGAGACACATGTGTCTCCTGGGCCGGGGGCGGGAGACACATGTGTCTCCGATGTGTCTCCGTGTGTCTCCTGACCCGGCCTTTTGTGTCCGCCACTCCTAACCGGGAACCAGCCAAGGGGTGCATCAGGACAAGAAGTGCCCAAGTCCAACTAACATTTAATTTCGTTGGACTTGCAAAACTTAGGCAGCAGCACCACCCAAGGCGCGCATCATGAGCATCAGCTGTCTTTGGGGCGGCCTGTTCCCCCTCCTTTCCTATCCTTCTCCTCGTTCTTCAGCTCCCGCCCCCCCATATACCCCCCCAAGTCCTAGACGTAACAGAACCCCACCCCGCCCTCCGCCCCAAAACATCGCTTCAAAAACAACAATAGGCCTCAACATAACAGTGTTCGAAAAAAGAGCCCGAGGGTCATAAGTTTTGCTAAGTTTTCCTTAACTTGTTTATGTTGTTCTACGTCTTTTTAACTACTTACAAGTGCTGTATCTTCGACAGGCCACTTACAAGTACTAGCAGCATGCAGGAACTTACAAGTTCTTATACTCACCTTATACGATGCTTATAGTATGGTTACGCTGGGTGTATATCTTCACTATCTACCTGTGTCCCTCCTCCGTATAAAACAGCCACCGCCGATCGCCAGATCGGCGACCGCCGTCCGGCAAACCGTGCCGAGATGCACCCCACTGGGCCTTCCCGCCTGCTGCCCCAAGGCAGCCTTCTCACTGCGTACCAGCTACCACGTCGGCGGTCCCAGCTGGTTGCATATATTTCGGATCGGCGTGATTTCTATCACCAATTGGAAGTAACTGCTGCCAGGGCAGATTGCAACCGGTTGCCATTCGGGTATGAAGCCTCCGCCTTCGAAGGCACCAGGGCGCTGGCGACATGGACTGAGGAGCGGCTGTCACAGTCGCGGCACACGCGAGCTCCTGCCCGACTTGTCCCGGCTTTTGCCTCGCTCTTACAAGGCGACCATTTAGGCGTCGAGTTTGCATTGGAAGGGCACTCTCAACTTCTTTCGGCCTATGATGCTCTCGAGCCGTGGACCCGACTGCAGGGAAACTCGGTACTTCCCCAAGGCGAGGATTGGCAAGCACTTGTGATAGATGATCTCGTGAATTTGTCGGCCGTCCCTCTCGGCAGTGACCCTGCTGCGCCATCGCATGCCCGACTCATGCATCACAGGGCTGCCATTGCCTATTGCGAAAATCAGGTGCAGGGCTCTCCTGACAAGGACGTTGAGGCCGCCACCCTTTTCCAGGCAATAGGTGCCGAGGTTGACTCCCAGCAGCCCCAGGTGAGCCGAGGGTGTGTGCCAGTTGGGGCCCCGTTGGGGCGACGTGTTGCTCTTGCTGTGCTTAGCCTACGGGCTGCCCGGCTGCCTATCACATCTGCACGCCTGCTGTCCCGCCTCACCGGGGCCTGGATCTCTTGTGCCATGTATCGCCGCTGCCTCACCTGCATCTTCCGCAAGACCTTTGGCCCTGAATCTCGAGCGGCCCCCGGGGACCCCTTGCAAAGACCTGTGCCTCAACCACGGAAGCTCGCCCAGGAGCTGTGCTTGGCTGCCGCCCTCTCTCCTATGTTTGCTACAAACCTGGCTGTGGAGCAACATGAGAAGGTCTATGCCACCGATGCTTCCTAGCTACTCGCAGACCCACAAAACGTCTTCTTAGTAGCTCGCAGGCCCGAAAAGCGCCTTCCTTAGCTCGCAGGCCAACAAAGCGCCTTCTTAGTAGCTCGCAGGCCCGAAAAGCGCCTTCTTAGTAGCTCGCAGGCCCGAAAAGCGCCTTCCTAGCAGCTCGCAGGCCCGAAAAGCGCTTTCCTAGCTCGCAGGCCCGAAAAGCGCCTTCCTTGTAGCTCGCAGGCCAACAAAGCGCCTCCTAACAGCTCGCAGTAGCTCCGAGGCCTGCGCACGGCCGAATTGCAAGCACTTTGGAGTCTCCAAAATTGTACGTTCTAGTACGTCCAGACCCTCAGATCTGCAGGCCTGTGAAATGCCGACCAAGGTCTCGAAACGAGGCCTGTAGACGACACAGGACAGAGAACTGGAACACCCTCCCAGAGAGAGCACTCTCTCTTGTGCAGCAGGGTGTTGGGCCCACAATCGATCAGCTAGGAGGAAGCTGATTCAAAATCGAAAGGGCATTGACAGCCTCGGGCCAAAAACGAAAGATCGATGGGGCTCAGGGCCGCAGGACGCAACGATCTTCGGCCTTTTAGCCCCAAAATTTTCCCGATCGGAGCTCGACGATTGTGGACTTTCTCGCTCCCCTCACTTTCTCTCACTCCGCTCTCTCCGCTCGCTCGACTCGCTCGTTCGCTTCGCTCGGGTCCACAATCGTCGAGCTCCGATTCGCTCGTCCTAAAATTTTGGGGCTGAAAGGCCGAAGATCGTTGGGTCCTACGGCCCTGATCCCCATCGATCTTTCGTTTTTGGCCCGAGGCGGTGGTGGCAACATCTCGGTGGCAGTTTCGGCCTGCCGAGTTCTGCCAAGTGTTCTGCCTCAGTGTTCTGCCGAGTGTTCTGCCCAAATGTTCAAATGCTCTGCCGTGTGATCTGCAGCGCTGGTCGTTGCGTCGTCGCCTCGTCGTCCTCTATCCTCATCCATCCTCTCGGGTCAGGACCTCTCTCTGTGGGGAGTATTCCCCACCCCACGGTCCGTTGCAGTTGAGAGGATCGCGATTCTAAAATTCTCCGTGGACCTCGTAGGCCTCATCGGCTCTAAACTGCATCGTAGTGCAGTTTCGACCCTCAACGGAGCACTGCTCCTGGCGATTCTACGGCCCAAAATCTGCTCGTATTCGGAAGTCGAAGAGAGTGCAGGCCTGTGGACTCGCGAGCAAAAAAAAGGCTCGCGAGTCCACAGGCCTGCACTCTCTTCGACTTCCTCCTCCTCGCAGATTTTGGGCCGTAGAATCGCCAGGAGCAGTGCTCCGTTGAGGGTCGAAACTGCACTACGATGAGCCGATGAGGCCTACGAGGTCCACGGAGAATTTTAGAATCGCGATCCTCTCAACTGCAACGGACCGTGGGGTGGAGAATACTCCCCACAGAGAGAGGTGTGCTTTTTGCGCCGCGTTCCGCGTTCTCGCTTGCAGTTTTGCTCCGCGCTTTTGTCAGTTCTTGTCGTTCCGCGTGCTCGAAGGACGCCGCGTTCCGCGCTCTCGCTTGCAGTTTCGTTCCATCGCTGTTCTGCTCCGCGCCCCGTGTTCCGCGCCGCGCACTCTTTGTCGCACCCCTTGTCGCACCTCTTGTCGCACCTCTTGTCGCACCTCTTGTCGCACCTCTTGTCGCACCTCTTGTCGCACCTCTTGTCGCACCTCTCGTGTCGCGCCCGCCGCGCCGCGCACCCGCCGCCGTCTATCCTACTCCTATCCTAGTGGGGCACGCTGAGCCGGGGCCTAGTGCTGATGACCCTCGCTTGCGGGGAGAGGCTCTAGGTTGTGGCACGGCGGTCCCAGCGAGTGGAGGTGGTGCCCGACTGAGACAGGGCTCAATTGGCGGGAGGCACCGGGGAGGCGTCCAGGGAATGGGGCGCCTCCGAAGCCTCGCCACCCCTGTCAGTCCCCCTTGGCGGGGGGGCTGCCGGGGAAGGGGGGCTGTCGGGGAACGGAATGCTGCCCTTTTTTTTGCAGCTCCCCAAACCGGGAAATGCCCGGGTTGCCCGATCAGCACACGGAGAGCAGCTCCGCGCTCGTGGCCCGCGAGGCCCCGACGTAGAGGTGCTTCACCGAGAAGTGCGGGCTGTCGGCGTCGCAGAGCCACACGCGCCCCCTGAGCGTGAGACCCTGGCAGCTCGCGTAGGTGATGGCGTGGCAGAGGCGAGTGTACCGCAGGAGCTCCGCCGACTAGAAGCTCTGTCCGTCGTCCAGCACGAACCGCTCCCCGACCTCCCGGACCTCTACGAAGAGGCCCTTGGCCACCTTCGCGCCGGCGCCCACGAGCCTCAGCCCCGGCCAGACACGCATGGTCTGCGGCTGGTTGGTCCCCGCCGGCCCCGACCCGCGGTGCTCCAGCAGCACGGCGTCCGACGGCGCCAGCCTGCGGTTCTCCCGGTCGTTGATGGCGATCCGGTGCGCATGCGAGATCACCAGGCAGGTGTCCGGCGTCCCGCGCCTCGGGAAGAGCTCCCGGGCCCGCTGCACGCCCCACAGCTCCACCTGCTCCGCCTCGTCCACCTTCAACCACTCCAGGAAGGAAAAAATCCCCTCGTCGCTCCTCTGGTTCTCCCTGAGCTCGTGCACGCAGCCGCCGGCCAGGTCGTGGAGCAGCTGCGTCTCCTTGAGGTTCCGGAGCACCGGCGCCCCGCCGAAGGCATCCTGCACCGCGGGCAGCTGCCTGAAATCTCCCAGCAGCAGGAACCTCACGTCGCGGTTCGTCGACAGCTGGGCGATGTCGGCCCAGAGCCCGACGTCGAGCTGCGTGACTTCTTCCACGACCAGCCAGTCCAGGGCGCAGCGGCCGGCGCGGATCGTGCGCCGCACCCAGTGGTCCGCCGTCTGCGCTCCCATGCCCAGATTCTGCACGGAGCAGTGCGTCTTCGAGATGAGCGTGACCCCCTCGCCGAGCGCCGAGAGCTGCGTCACGATTTGCTTCGCCAGGTGCGTCTTCCCCGTGCCCGGCATCCCGGAGAGCAGGAGGCTCTTGCCGCAGAGGCAGTGGTCCACGGGGTCCGCCACGTGCCGCCACGGTTCCTGCGGCCTCGGTGGCTCGGCCTCCATGCGCGGCTCGCCGTAGTCCCCCTCAAGGCGCTTCACCTCCTCGAAGCGATACTTCGGCGTGCAGTCCCGGTGCCGGCGCCTCACCAAGGCCTCCACCTGCTTCAAGAACTTTTTGGGCAGGCTCTGGTACACCAGGCAGTCCGTCTTCACCGCCACGAGGTAGCGGGAGGGCACCTCGCGCAGGGCCCAGTGGATCCGGGCGAGCTCCACGTGCTCCGAGGCCATGACGAAGTCGTGCGCCGGCCTCATGGAGTGGTTGCTGAAAAGCTCGGTTGCATAGATGTGGTCGTAGTGGCTCCTCCCCCGGTCGTCGACGAAGACCTGCTGGTACTGACACCCCCGCCCGTCCACCTCGTGGTTGCTGGTCCTCATCGAGTAGAAGACGTCCTTGGAGCGAGCCCACAGCCCGATCAGGGCGTTGACGGCGAGCTTCGCCATGTGCGCCTCGCCCTCGGGCCAGGCCCGCTCCATGATCTCCAGCGCCCGGGCCAGGCAGTCCGGCGAGACGTGCGCCGTGGCGTCCAGGGACCACTCGAAGTCGGCCCAGGTGGCGAGGCCAGCGTGAAGGCGGTGGCGGGCTTCCCGCACCAGCCGGGCCGCCAAGGGCGACCGCCGGTCCTCCCGCTTCCTGACGAAGGTCACATCCGCCAGCTTCCCCTCCTCGGCCTCTCGGATGTTGTCGAGGGGACAGAAGACGGGCAGGGGGAAGGGGGCGTTCGCGAGCGCGTTCTTGCGGCACCTCACCACGTCCACGCCGTGGCAGACTTTGTCGGGGTCGCACTTGGAAAGAGGGGCGGGCGAGCAAGCGTAGGCCTCGAGGACGTGGCGGCAGAACCTGCTCTCCAGGCTCGTGGCGTGGGAGCACTCCAGGAGGGTCTTCGAGGCGTGGCACTCCTGGCACAGGGCCTGCAGGGGTTGCCGCTGGCCATAGAAGGCCTGGTGCACCGGCACGATGTGATCCGCCTCGCAGCCCCCGACCTCGATCGGAGCCCCCAGCGCTCCGATAAAAGTGCTATTTCACCGGAGGTGACAATCACCTTATCTTTCCAAACACAAAATTTCAAGAACCTTTTGGTTTTGAAATAGTGCTTGCGAAAGTTTCTCTTTTTCCACTTCACGCTTTTCTCACATGTCGTTTATTTTACAGTACATGTGTAGGAGTCGTGCTTGCAGTTGCCTCTGATTTGTGAGCCGCTGAAGCACTGGCTCGCTGCTGGTGGAAGTTTTTGGGTTTAGGGTTTCCAGGTCTGCAAGGCCAGGGAAGCTCGATTAGGCAGTTCACGCCCAAGTGAGTGCTGAGCGTTGCTTCAAGACAGGCCTTTTGCCATGCTTGACAGATAATTTGCAGTGTCGCAGTGATTCCAATTTGGACCGCTCTGGTCCATACCTCAGATCGCTTCACTTCATTTCTGGTGTCTGCCTCGCATTGGCGCCTGGTTTTGCAGATTTCGTCACGTAGATGCTGGCGACGTCCAGCTGACTGTGCAACCCTCAGACCGGGCGCAAAACTGCGGCTCTTGTGCACTTTGCAGAGAACTTGCATGCCACTTTCCTGCATTCGGGCGCTGTTTGCGCCGCTTGCTTTCCGAGTTTGAGCAGTGCATGCATCTGGCTGCGAGCGCTTTTAGGGCATTGCAGGGCACAGGTCCGTTGCATTTTCGAACATGGACACGTCAGCCCCTGAGAGTTCCTCTGACTGTGGGGCGGATCTCAGCAATCTGCCTCCTGATGACGAGCCGGCTGCTGGGTCTTCAGAGCGAGCTAGCACTGATGATACTTTCTTGCTGCTCTCTGACCATGTGTGGGAGTTAGAGCAGCGTGTGACTGTTCTGGAACAACGCCTGATTGCAGCTGATCCTGTCCCCAGAGAAACTCTTCAACGCGAGATCACAGGGATCTCTCGAGCCTTTTTCGGGCTTG